CTGAGGCTGCGCCGGGCACACTTTGGCCTTTGGCCCCAGGAGCCCTTCCCTTCCGGGTCTTTCTACACCTTTCTGTTCTTGCTGATCATTCGCCCCCTGAGACGGTCTTACATACTCGGAGTCTGAGATACTGCTGTTGCCCTGATCTTCTTGTCCCTTTCTCTGACTCCTTCCCAAGTTCCTCTTTTCTCCAGTCGCCCCTTTCTATTTGCTTGAGGGTCATGAACCCAATGAGAATCAAACGAAAGCCAGAGAGGCTCTCCCCGGAAAACTGCACATAGGTACATAGTCATTTTGCTGCCGTTTTGGGGCTTGGTGTGCCCTGTAAAGCCATCCACAGACCCAGGCTAATTCTCCCTGCCTTAAACGCTGGTGTTCCCAAGTTCTAGCTTCCGCTTAGTTTCCTTTACACCTTGTTTCTTCGAGCTACTGTATCTATTCCCGTTGTCTTCTGGACAGAGGATGCCCAAATCTATAACTGTACCCACTTCTGTTAGGACCACAGACCGCCAGAATGTACAGGTCCTGCCCGTCTCTCGGGCACTACCCCAGGCACCGCAACTTCCACATATTCCGAACCAAGCCCATCCTCTTCCCTCCTAAAATGGCATCTCCCCCTTCTGTGTTACTTATTTCAGTGAGTGGAACCAAGATCCACCCAGTTGTCTGAATCAGAAACTTGTACTTCATCGAGAACTCTACACCTTCCTTTCTCCTCACCAGCTTTCAGTTATCACCTACCCACTCATTCTGCTTTCTGTGACTCAGGGTTCTCTCCACACCTGCTACAGCTTCCTCGACACTGTTGTAACAGCCTTTTTAAAGCTGATAATTGGGTCTGACACCACTCCAGTCTGTTCTCCGAAGACCGCCAGAGTTGTCTTGCTCAAATCCAAATGCAAATCTTTGCCTGTTGGATAACAGAAAGGCACTAAACATTTGGTGAATGAAATGAATGTCTCTAGGGCACCAGGCACATTTAAACATGTTAACTAATTTACTTTCACAGCTGTATTTGAGGATTGTAATAGTAATTAGTAATCAGGATTGTATCATAATTTAATAATGCCTATTTGAAGTTGAAGGAGGCTCAGCCTGGTTAAATATGTGAATACAGACATAGCTGCCAGGGGAGGGGATTGTGGCTGATGTTTATCTTGGTGGAGAACTAGACTTCTTGTGTTACTTACCATTTACAATTTATTATCTACTCTTTATGGTATCATGGTCCTCTACCTGCAGTTCCTTGGCATCCCCCAACCACAGGCTGTGTAATGGTATTTACTTTTAAAGAAAGTCTGCATGTAAGCGACCTGCACAGGTCAAACCGGCCTTGTTCCCGGGTCAGCTTTACTTGCTGGTAACTTAAGAGCAATTAAATGCTGTTGTAGCAAACCTTTCTTTTCACAGATACTTATTGAGCTTTTGTGTAGAGGTGCTGATGCAAGGCACTTTAGAGGCCCGTGGAAACTGATGAGGCATGAATCCTGCCACAGGATCTTCTGAGCTGATAGGGGAGATGGAATATATATATATACATACATACATACACACAAGTACAGCACAAGGTGGAAGGTGGTAGGCACTGATGTGGGCATGGACAGAGAAAAGATCCTAAAAGGAATAGCAGCTTGTCCAAAAATGAATTTTTGATCAAATGAAGACCAAGTGTAACTTCCAAGAGAGCAGACCATTTCTGATAGATCACCAAGGAGAGAATTTGGGGAAGTATTAAGGGACTGACTGGAGGGAGGAAATGTCCACTCTGAGGATCGAGGAGGCTTGGGTATGCCTGAAGGGGTGCGGGCAGTGCTGGAGGTATATAGCACCTTGGGGCAGAAGCTGCACATTCCAGAAATGGGGGCTTCAGCCTTTTGGTCCTTAATTACTGAAAACCCTGTAAACCGACAACAAATGTTATTGGTATTCCTGGCAACAGTGCTGTTTTATGTTTGTCGCAGGCGTGCTGAAGGAGGCTCTAAGTTCATGCTGGCTTGAAAACAGTTTGCAACTTTTCTCTTAAGGTGTCATGGAAAAACTCCAGCTCGGCCCAGAGATTCTGCAGAGGGAGAACCCAAAGCTCATCTATGCCAGGTTGAGTGGATTTGGCCAGTCAGGAAGATTCTCTAGGGTAGCAGGACATGACATCAACTATTTGGCTTTGTCAGGTATGTTGGAAAAAATAATTTCTCTATGTTTTTTATTTTGTTCCCAGTCAAGATCTACGAGTGCACTGATTAAAAAGAATTTTTTTAAGGTGAAGATTTAAATATTTATCAGAATCAATAAAGAGCATGTGGTTGTTTAAAAGGGTTAGTTTGTCTTGGAATAGTTGTTCTCGACCTCTCCCTGCCTGAACACATTGAAGGGATGATATACTGTCACTAGTAACATTTACTTACTACACTTGGGGAGTGAATTCTCCAGCAAGCCCCAGCTAGGAGGGAAGAGACTTGGTGGTACTAGAAATGATTGCTCTGTGGTTTGAAAATCCTAATATAGTTTGAAACCTCTTCTCCCCTACTTCGTTGAGAATCATTGTCTGAGTCGCCATTTTAGAAATTCTGTGGATACTATAAAAAACCCGTGGTTTTCAGGTCATAATATCACCTTACTAGAATTGTTGCCTGTAAGAACATGTCTTAGAATGGCCTAATTCTAGATTTCTAAGAACTGTGTTGCTGAATAAAGAAAGTCGCAAATTTTCTGTGTCCACATTCAAAGGCTGAGGAAAACAGTGTAGAATTGGCTTTTCATATCTATTTAAAAGTTTAATTCCTTTTCTTTTTCTTATGTTTGTTTTCTTGCATTTCTTTCTTATAAGAATAAAAGTGCGTTATATGGGTGTAAAGCCAGAAAGTCAATGCATAACAACCATTTTCTTCCCCAAACCCAGTGAATAAAACCTTAGCAATAGAATTCTGAATACATTCATTGGAATAAAGTTTTAGAGAACCAAAAACAAAACAAGGAACTTTTTTCAGAGGGAAGGCTTGCTTATAAATACACTGAACAAGTTTAGATTTAGAAAAGCATTAAGTATTTGTTTTCACTTATGTCAGCAACTAGAGAGATTGGTGTTCCCCTTAGATGTTCATGTATTTATTTAAAAGAGACATTAAATTTATAGTTAGTGTTCCCACTTTTTTTTTTTTAATGATGTAGGTGTTCTGTCAAAAATTGGCAGAAGTGGTGAGAATCCATACGCCCCGCTGAATCTCCTGGCTGACTTTGCTGGTGGTGGCCTCATGTGTGCACTGGGCATCACACTGGCTCTGTTTGAGCGCACACACTCTGGCAGAGGTCAGGTCATTGATGCAAGCATGGTAAGTGTTAAGTGGGGGAAATGATAAGCCTGCCAGTTGTACACAGGATGCTGTATGGCTGCCTCAAGTCCTCTTCTGAACAAGACAAGATAAATGAGAGCTGAAATTTGAATCCAAGTTACCAAGGGTGGCTTTTTCTTTAAAACAGCTTCATATCTTTGACATGTCAGAATGTCATATTTTAGTCATCTATGTGGAGTCAATTTTCTAAAGTTTCCATGATTCACCTGATTTCTATGTTGTGTTTCAAGAATTTTCCCCACACTTGTGCTTAGAATATGGTTTTCCAGCAGTCTTCATCCGAACCTGGGCTCAGAAAGTCTCCCTCAGCAGGTAGAAAAGATTCTTAATGATACTCAAGTGAAAGGGACCAGTGTAGACCTGCCTCCTGCCTTGCATCGGGGATGTCATGATGCTCCAGTGTTTTCAGCATCATACACTGAGCACTTGCCTCATGTTATCCTAGGCGCTTTTCCTGTGTGATTTCCCCCTGTGTGATTTCAAAACAACAATTTTACTTGGAATACATTGTTATTTTAAAGAAGAGGAAACTGAAGCATAGAAATTTGCCCAAGTTCTCACAGCTAGTTGATGGGAGCCCAGTCCAGCACAACTACACGTTTGCCTTTGGACAGATCTTTGGAGGTAGGGTGGAGAATGGATGTGATGGAGACGAGACTGGAGGCAGAGGGACCAGTTACTGGATTACTGCTGAGAGATAAAGGCAGGTACTAAAATGGTTCATGGCAGAATGGGTCTGGATTTAAGGATTTACTTCTGAAATATAAAATTGCTGGGATTTGATGATGTATTGGTGGTGAAGGGAGTGGGAGGCATCAAGGTTGGTTCCCCTCTTTCTGGCTTGGAAGGCCCAGTAGGTGGTGTCACTGGTGCCCTGGGGGAGGCATGCTGAAAGAGGCGTCCAGAGCACAGACTCCGGTGGCCAGCTTCCCCCACCCCAGCTCTGCTGTTACTAGGTCTGTGATTTGGGGTAAGTTACTGAGCTTCCCTGCCTCAGTTTCCTTGTTTGTAAATGGAGATAACAGTGGTTTCTACCTCACAGTGTTGTCAGAGATTTAAATGAGTCCATCTGTTTTTCACTGTTATGTAAATAACAGCTTGTGGGTTCTGTTCGTCATGGGTTTTGTCCAGCAAAAATCCCACCGTGGAAGAACAAAATTACTCAAGACTTTATCAGGTCAAGAGAGTGAGAGGGAGCCAGAGACCAACTCCCCGAGCTCCTCCAAAGCTCTTGTATTTATTGAGAAGAGTCAAACAAAGAAAGTAAAACGTCATAGGAATGAGTGAGGGGCATGGTGTATGTGCAGGGATGCAGGTCAGTAGCTTCAGTTCGTGAAAAACAGAAACATAATCTTAATTTATACTTAGAGAGAAGGTTCCAGTATTGATAGTACAAACGGTTATTTTAAACCTCAGACAATCATGAGCAAGGTTACAGTGCTCCGAACAATTGATAGTGAAAATCCGGACCACCACAGAGTCTCCATGCAATAATCAGAAATCGTCTAAGCACGCGAAGCAGCCCAGCTGTTCCCAGCTAAGGGCTGCGTCAGTCTTCTGTGAGCAGGAGCAGCCTACACGATCCGCCTAGGCCTGATAAGCGAAGCGTGTCCTGCCAGTTAGGGCCAGGGACGAATTATGGTTTTCCATAAGCACAAGCAGCCCTGAATCTATGACCTCACACTAAGCAAAGCATGTCTCTGCTTTTTATGGGGAGGAGACAGGTTGTAGCAGATTCCTGCTGGCAAAGCAGCTTCCAGGCAACTGAGCTGAGTTCCACAGGTAAAGTGGTGACTGGTATTGAGAGCTTGGTCTTTTAAGCTTTTGGACTTTTTGCTTTGAGGTAGCAGTATAAAGTCAAATATAGAAAGCATTGGTTTTGATTATACATTTCTTACGTGTTTACGTAAAGGTGAGAATACATAAAGGTGAGAATATGATTTGGTAAAAGCAATCATTGCAGTATCAAAGTTTGTAAACCCAAGTTTGTGCTCCCACAACAGCTGTCTTAGAGGAGACACTCTGTAAAGAGTTTGTTATCACTATTATTAGAAGAAAAGTTCTTTTAAAAAAAAGGCAAAAAAACTTATTTACAAAACAGAAACAGACTCACAGACATAGAAAATAAACTTATGGTTACCAGAGGGGGAATGGGGTGGAAGGGATAAATTGGGAGTTCCAGATTTGCAGATACTAACTAATATATATAAAATAGATAAGCAACAAGGTTATACTGTATAGCACAGGGAACTATATTCAGTATTTTGTGGTAACTTACAGTGAAAAAGAATATGAAAACGGATATATGTATGTTTATGTATGACTGAAGCATTGTGCTGTACACCAGAAATTGACACATTGTAAACTGACTATACTTCACTAACAATATATAGATACAAAAAAAAAAAAAGAAAGAAGAAAAGGAATGCAGTTTTGGTCATTTCAAGTTTGATCTGCCTCTCAGATACCCAGATGGAATCCCCGAAGCTGGGCATCAGAAGCAAGTTCCAGAGTCCTTTGGGAACCGCCTGAGACTGCGATCCGCTGGGAAAGGGAGCAGGAGAGCGGCGCTGGGGGAGTGGGTGGGCAGACCCCCTCTCTGCTCCCTTCTCCTCCCAGGCCCATCACTCCCCGCCCTCTGCTGCTTCTGGGCCTTGTGACACTGCCTAATGAATACATTCACACTGTGCCTTGAGCTTTGTGTTCCTCTCTGAGGGATTTCAGTAGGAGTGGTGTGTGACTGATCTCTACCTCCAGGCCTGGGCCTGGCTTGACAGGCCAGGTGGGAGCAGGGCCTTGTTTCTACCCGCTGCAGTCCGGACACAAGGCTAGGTGCTTTGCATACGTCTGTCCTCCTCTGACCTTCACGGCTCCCTTAAGGAGGGACGCCCACTCCCGCTTGGTACTAGAAGACTCATAGACTCAAGGAGGCTTACTACCTTCTCAAACAGGTGGCTGGAACAGGTTAGATACACCGCCTCTGAGCAGTTTGACTCCCTTGCGGGCATGAAAGCCCAGAATTAGTCACTGCCCTTTCCTGCCCTCCGAGCATGGCCCTTGGTCCGACAGGAAAGAACTAAGAACAAGCCTGAGGCCTTGGGAGTTTGAAGGGAATTTAAGGCTAAATACTTACTACATAATAATCTGAATAATTTACTAATAACATGTGATTTCTTATTTATAGTCCAATATCAGTAAAAGATAATTGCTGCTTTCATCAGACTGCGTCTGATCAGAATGACGTGATGATTAGGAAGACAGTAGGGTCTTAGTGTATGTGAAAATGTTGTAAACTTTGTTTAAGGTTCACATTCACGTTAGGGCACAGTGAGTGCTGGCTGAAAACTAAAGGTCAAGTGGATCAGTAAAGGCTCATATTCATTACCTCCCCATCTCTGGGGGCCCTTGTGATACAAACAGCTATAAAAGCTGATTAGAGGGGAACAGATACCTTATTCTTTTAAGCCAGTAGTTTTCAGTTGACTTGAGCTGCAGAATCCTTAACCCAGGCGTGCCGGTGAGGACCTGGAGTCGTCTCTTCATCATACTGTTCCCTTGGAAACAGTGGAATGTGGGGGGTGATTTTGCTGTGTTTACCCCTGATCTGGGGCAGCGCATCCGACCCGGGGGGCCGTGTGTTGGCACGCAGACCATTGGTCCACGTGAGGAGAATAGTGTAAAAGGTCGGGGAACCGAGGCTGCAGTTTCCCTGTGTCAAGGGTTCGCGTCTGTGGCGGCAAACACTACCCATGGGTGAGGCAGCAAGAGAAGCGTGTGCCGGGCAGCCTCGTGGAGAGGTGAGGATTACACTGCTGTGTCCCTGTCGTGTATCCTCCTGTGGCACCAAGTAAAGGTAGGATTAGATGAGAGTGCTTTTGCACCCTGAGTGAGCCAAACTAGACCTGTGATGCCGTGAGGGCATCTTTTTTAAACAGACTCATCAGTACATCCATTGTATAAAAGAGGTTATATCTTTGTGTGTGTGTGTGTGAACATGGGGATCTTCTAAGATCTACGTAACCCTGTTTCAGAAAAAGCAACACCATAGGCCACTTACACAAACTCCACTATTCAGTGACAACGGATGTCAGACGCACAAATTCAAGTGTGTGTGAGCTTTCAACTTAAAAGGGAACGTTGGGATGTACATAAAGATATATTTTGTATTTGTTTCACAGCCAGTGAGAAATTCCATGTGCACAGTTGGAATGGGGTCCCTCTGTTTGTAACCTCAGAGACAAGGATAATTTGATAGCCTTCTCCCTGGGATGCTGGAACTGTTAGGATCATAAAGCCATAAAGATAGGGAAGTGTGTTCTTTACATGGCCCAGGGCATCCAGCCTAGAGATAATCATATCTGAGGATGCGAATCCATTCCTGTTACTTCAGGACTCAGTGAGAGTTGGCATTCCCAAACTAGTTTGTACTCAGAAAGCGCATATACCTGCCACCCATATTATGTTTATTTTGTACCTTTTTAGTGATTATTAAAATTAAGATATATTAAATACTCAAATTTGTTTTCTTAGGCTTGGAGTCAAACAAAATTTAACTGTCATGTGACTTACCTTTAAAATGTGATACGCTTCATATATCTGTGTGTATGTGTTTATAGGTATTGAGATCAGGTGATGGATTTTTAAAAACGTTTTTGCTTTATTTTCAATTTTTTTATTCTGATGGTTTTTAATATATGTAAAATTAAAAAGCATATATACTGAATATCCATGTACCCTCACTTAGCTTCAAAAATTATCATTTTGCCAATCTTACTTGAAAAGAAGAACAAAAATCATTCTTTTAAGTCTTTGCTGAGTAGTATTTCCTGAGCTGAAAAGTGCAGAAACTCACTCTGCCATATGCCTGCTCTAACTCACCCTATCAAAATAGTAAGGAAGTTGTATAATTAGATGCAGTCTTCCTATATTTAAGATAAGCATTTTGACACGAGTGTTTTTCAAAAGCCCAACCAGAAATCAATCATGCTTTTCATAGTCAAATTATCTGGATTCCTACTGTATTCTGTTTCTTCAAAGGTGGAGGGAACAGCATATCTAGGGTCTTTTCTTTGGAAAGCCCTGGGACTGTGGAGCCAGCCTCGCGGGCAGAACCTGTTAGATGGGGGAGCGCCTTTCTACACAACCTACAGGACGGCCGACGGGGGGTTCATGGCTGTTGGAGCAATAGAGCCCCAGTTCTATGAGCTGCTCATCAAGGGTGAGTGACTGTCACCTACTCTTTTCTGCAGAAGCTTTTTAGCCTCTGTTTTGAGGCCTGTTGAAATTCATGATGTCTTTTATTAAATGTCCCATTATAGCCATCATTATATTGTGGGGCCCTTCCCCCGTCTTTTAAATTGGTGAGTAATTTTTCCAGTCTCTAAAATAACTCAGATTAAAAAACAGTCCCTTTTGTGGGAGTTCGATGTCTTTATTACATTTCACACTCAGTAGTGTTGGATATTTATGTCTCCCTTGTGTGCCCACATCTTACCCCTCCCTGGAGATGATCTGCTGGCTCTACCAGTTTTGGTTCCTTGCTAGATGTCCCTCATGGTGCTTCAGTGACAGAGGGGTCACCAGAGCACAGAGACACTTTGGGGAATGACATCTTGTTGGAATATGTTACCATTATTTGATGCTTCCACAGTTTACCTTTCTCGACATGTTGCCAAAAGTTAGGAAAATTTGGAATCTCTTCTTCCCTGATGAAATAATTGGACTGAAGTTATTTGGGTCCTGTGAAAGTTTGAATTTAAAAGTTTACAGATAATTCAGTATCTGAGAAGTTTTAAAATATACTTTGAAATGGTGTGACCAGCTGGTTGCAGCTCATTTATCTTTCAGCTTTAAGTTTAGAGTTCTTTTGTTCTGTTTGGTAGCTTTTCAGATGCAAAATGCTACTCAGAGTTAATTTGTACATAGCTGAAATGATTATTTTTGCAAGCGTTAGAAAGCATGTTATGATCAGCTGTATTAACTTCACCAATTTAAATATAGTTGGAAGAGCTGTAGAACAGAATGATTTATCTAGATCATATTTTTATTTTGTTTTGTTTTGTTTTGTTTTTGGTCCTGAAATTAAAACGAAGACTAGAAGTCTTAATTCAAAATTCTGGACAGAACAGTGCTGCACGAGGGGCTGAGGGCTGGGAGCAACACCCCCTTGCTGGTGGTACAGGGCCCTGGGAAGGAGCTGGGACATACTCAGTGGGGTTTGCACCTTACACAAATCTTGTGGTTTTGTCCATAGAGAATTTAAATATAGTAATAAAGTTGGCTAATCGTCAGTTGAATTTTATTATAACCATGCATCAGGCAATTCTAAATGACAGTTGAAACTAACTTTTTTTTTTGATAAATATTTCAGGAATAGGGCAGTGTGAGCTCTGCGTCAGATCAAATAAAGACAACCCCTGAGGATGGAGATTTCCAGGGGGCTGTCAGACAGGCCAAACAGTGGTAGTTCACTGGGGATGGGATGTGGGGGGAGCTCCATCCTTATTTTGCCCCCTCCTCCTTGGCTGTTGATCCTACTGGTTTTCACAGCCACTGCAGTTGAGAGCCTGTGGGCTACCACAGAGCTGAGAGAGGGATGAGATTAGCACCGAGGCTCACTGCTCTTACTAAGATTTTTTCTTGAATATGCTCCTGAAATTGTTGTAGGCTTTTAGTTCATCCTATTTCTAGAATGATGAAAAAGTTGATCCTGCCAATTTGTGCTAGTGTTCTTGTTGCTTTTATACATGAGCAGATTTTTGAAGGTCTCTGTTCTGCCATTTCAGAAGTTAACTCCTCTCTGTCATATGTCTGGTTTTTTTTTTTAAAAACATGTGTGTTTAGAATGATCATTTCTAACATCCACACTCCACTTTGATGAATGAGCTTTTCTGGAAGTACTGAAAGCGAAACAAGACGTTTTTCTAACAGGCTGATTGCCCCAGCACCTTGACTTCTGATCATCTTCTCCTGGGTTTTCTCTTTCTGAGTCTAAACTCTGTAACCCCTCAAGTTTTTTTTTTTTTACAGCCCCCTCTCTTTGCAGCCACAGCCTTCTGAGATATCCCTAACCTTCTCTCCTCCCCAGGTTCACTGAAGATCCTTAGCTGGCAGGTGGCTTGTGCTGTAAGTCAGCTTAGCATGTCAATTCAGCTTTTTCTTAATCCACGTAGTCTGTGCCAGAATGCCTCAGCATATTCTTTCTTTTACAATACTTATTTGCAAAAATATACTTTTACTAGTCACATATACATAATTTCTCTCCCAGGCCTCATCAGACAAACCCCCACATCTGTAATGACTTTTTTGAGGTAGTATTAATTTATTATTTCTTTGACCTTATGTGTTGAGATCTTTGAGACCATACCTTCATTTAGCGCTCATTATCTGAAGACAAGGTTTTTGTAAAGTGCAGACTCCACAATGCTGTGTCCCTGCTGCTTTATAGGCCAAAGAAATGTAAAAACAGAGAATTTCATGACATCTTGAGGCTCTTGTTGTAAATCAGATAAGCAATAGAGAATGTTTGGAAGTTGTTTTAAAATTTCAAAATATTATTAAAAGAAAACCTGAAAATAACAAGTGTTGGTGAGGATGTGGAGAAACTGGAACCCTATGTATTACCGGTGAGAATGTAAAATTGTACAGCCACTGTGGAAGAAGGTGTGGTGGTTCCTCACAAAATTAAACATAGAATTACCATATGATCCAGCAATTCCACTTCTGGGTATATATCCAAATGCATTGAAAGCAGGAACTTGAACAGATATTTGCATATCCGTGTTCATAGAGTTATTTACAATAGCTAAAAGGTGGAAGCAACCCACGTGACCATCAGCAGATGAATAGATAAATAAAATGTGTTTTTCATTTATATACATATATATGCATATATAGATATATGAAACAATGAAACATTAGCCTTAAGAAGGAAATTCTGGCATATGTTAAGCATGGATGAATTTGAAGATGTTACGCTAAGTGAAATGATCTTGTCACAAAAGGACAAATATTTTATGATTCCGTTCATATGAGGTACCTAGAGTGGTCAGATTCATAGACAAAAAGTAGAATGATGGTTGTCAGGGGCTGGGAGAAGCAGGGAATGAGGAGCTAGTGTTTGATGGGTACCGAGTTTCAATTTGGGAACATGAATAGTTCTGGAGATGGATGGTGCTAATGGTTCCAGAACAATATGAATGTACATAATGCCATAGTGCTGTATTCTTAATGATGACTAAAATGGTAAATTTTACCACAATTTTTAAAAATGAAAAAAATTCAAAATAATGTGCTTTTTAGAAAAAAAATGTGAACAATAGTTTGTAAAGTGAGAGACAAAAATTCTCCCTTGTCTTTCCACTTTGGGGACATTTGAGATGTGGCCTTCAAGAATTTTTCTGGTACATATACAAACACAATTAAATTTTTTTTATAATTTATAAATAATTTACATGATTATATAATTTTACAATTCATAGCTATCTCTTTTTTATTCAAAGAATAGCAGACATCCTTTTTCGTCAACCCTAAAGATCTTCAGGCTCCCTCTTTTAATATAGCAGCCATGTCATACTCTATTCTATACCTGTCCTAAAATTTATTTAACCATTTCCTTATTCAAGTTTATTTACATTTTTCCAGTTTTTCACTATAACAAATAATGCTTATTATTTATTAATTATTAATAAACATTAATCTTTATATATATCATTGCATACTTATGGGATGCATTTTTGACTGCTTAATATGTGCGTAATATTGTTACAGAGCAGTAAGTTTATGACATGTACTGAAAAACAATAACTATTTTATGTAATTATGTGTGTACATATACATGTTTGTATAATGTAGTTTTTTTGGACATCAGAACATACTTTCCCAAGTTTTAAGTGGTATCTGAGTCCCCAGGCCAGTTTCTGGAAGTCAGTGGACTCACAATATCAGAAATTTAATATTAATTATACTGTAAAAACTAGCCACAATCTATAATTGTGTTCCGTGGGGGAGTGGATCCTCTGTATAGGAAGGTCAAGGGCATGGGAAACAGCCCACCCGAACCTCTGGTAGTTCATCCTGTGGCCTTGATGGGAAACTGTGTGCTGAGCAAGGCTGGCAGGGCAGTGGGAGAGCTGGCGTGTCAGAGTCAGGGGTGGAACTTAGGGTCTTTTGGTGGCTAGTATTTTTCCAGTATACAAACTATGACCTGTGGAATCTCGAGTATAATGTTTGTTAGAGAACTGTTGGCTTCAGTTTTAAATGTTTCTCGCTCCCCAGCAGACAAGGCTGTCAGGAAAGAATTTGTTTTGGAGGAGGAAAGGGTAGGGTGGTAATTATATGTATATGTATACACACACACACACACATACTTTTTTTTTTAACAGTTGCTAAGGATTGAACCCACGACTTTGTGCATGCTAAGCACACACTCTACCGTTGAACTATGCCCTCGCACCTTGGCTTCAGCTTTATTTAGTGTTATGATTCTGATCACATTCTGATTTTTTTGAAAAACTGTTTAAAAAAGCATGAAAAGATGTTTCCAGCAGTAGCTATGATCTACATCACTACTTTTGGCTAACTGCTCATTTTATGTGTTTTTCAGTCACAGAGTTTGGGCAATCAGGAGAGAGAAAGCAAAGTGAAACACATCCTTAGAAACATTTCTTTGTAGATGACAGTGATCACCCTGAAACAATAGCTCTGTATCTTCCCTGGTATTTGAATGAGACAAGTGGCTACAGAGAAAAATGTACTTATATATCCCACAGGTGTTTTTTCACAACTATCCCGAACTACATGAGTTCTCCTTATTTCCTTATATCCCCCAAACCCAAAGAAAAGCCTGCAGTATTCATGTCTTCTTAACTCTGTAGGTAAGCTTATATTAAGCTTATTATAAGCTACTCTGCATCTTCAGAGTAGCTTATAATATGTTTTTCAGAATAGTAGATGAGGAAAGGGTGATGAAAGAGAATTATTTAATTAACTTGGCTAAACATGCAAAATATTATACTTGGCTAAATTTATGCAAAGTTTAAATTCAGAAACCCTCTTATGCATGAGGAAATAAAAATGACAGTTACACCAAACCCCAGCAAAGTGGCCCTTTAGATATAATTTAATCAGAACTGGCGTTCAGGTGTTTCTGCAAGGGTAGGTGCTTATAGTCAATAAAGGAAGCCCAGATCGGTCATAGGTCAGAGAAGCCATCCTTCCTGGGAAATCCCATGTGGATGCTTTCATCCTCTCTGCACCCTATGTTGATGAGTCCCTTCAAGGCTCTTTATACTTGAGAGAAAAAAATCTGCCTGTCCCCTATTAATTGGCTGGCCGATTCCTTTCTGTCCTGTTTGTTATAGGAACAATTTACATGTGTCTTTGGTTACTTTACAAGTCCTTTGTTCCTAGTTGACAGCAAGGTTGTAAGAAAGCAAAGAGGCAAATACCACTGCTCTACTAGAGCTCCTCTGTTGGACAAAAATAAAAGAGAAATGAATATTATGTATAAAATTGCAATCTTGAATTTAATTATTTATCTTTAGGCTTCCTCGAAAACAGAATAGAGGCATACATTGGAGACTTTGTGGTTTGGATTCTGACTACCTCAATAAAACAGCTATTGCAATAAAGCGAGTCACATGAATTTTTTGGTTTCCCAGTGCATATAAAAACTATGTTTATATTGTAGTCTATTGAGTATGCAATAAGACTGTCTAAAAAGACAACATACATACCTTAATCAAAAAATCATTTTATTGCTGAAAATACTAACCATCATTTGAACCTTCAGTGAGTTGTAATCTTTTTGCCAGTGGAGTGTTTGAAATATTGTGAGAATTACAAAATGTGACACAGAAACATGCTGTTGGAAAAATGGCACCGACAGAATCGGTCCACACAGGTTTGTGGCACAAACCTTCAATTTGTAAAAATTCATAATCTGTGAAGTGCAAGAAAGTGAAGCACAGTAAAACGAGGTGTACCTGCAGTGATACTCAAATTCGTTTAGAATTTTAGCTTTTGCAGGATCTGGGAACACTATGAAATACGGTGTTATTTTAATTCAGTGTGACAGATAATAACATCATGAGAAAATTTATTTTTGAAAACCTACTCAGAGTAAAGAAATCGGTTTCTGGAAACTGGACCCTTAAAAATAGACTAACTTTTGATGAAAGGTAAATAATGAAATCTTGGCAAAGACTTGGAAAGTGTGTTTGAGTCCTTCTGTCCCTACTACCTTCTCCAGCCTTTGGCTCTAACTTCAAGTTGGGTTTGAATTTCTTCTCTTGACCCACTGGAGAAACTCCTCTAGAACATCTCATTTGGGAGCATACGGTGAGTTCAACATTCAGTTGTCATTGACTATAGTCACTCCACCCAAAGCACACTAATTTAAGAAACTGTGTTTTTCTCTCAGGACTTGGGCTAAAGCCTGATGAACTTCCCCATCAGATGAGCACAACTGATTGGCCAGAAATGAAGAAGAAATTTGCAGATGTATTTGCAAAGAAGACAAAGGCAGAGTGGTGTCAGATCTTTGATGGCACAGATGCATGTGTGACTCCTGTTCTGACTTTTGAAGAGGTTACCCATCATGGTCACAACCAAGATCGGGGCTCATTTATGACTGATAGTGAGCAGGGCGTGAGTCCCCGCCCCGCACCTCTGTTGTCCAATACCCCAGCTATCCCTTCTTCCAAAAGGGATCCTTTTGTAGGAGAACACACTGAAGAGGTACTTCAAGAGTTTGGGTTCAGTGAAGAAGAGATCAATCAGCTTAAGTCCGATAAAATTATTGAAAGTAATAAACTAAGAGCTAATCTCTAAGTTCAAGCTGCACAATTCAAGTGAATCTGAATATTGCATTTATAGTTTAGAATAGTATTAAAAAATTTTATGCCTGGAAATGTGAAAACACAGTATCACAGTGGTCTAACTATTCTAATCAGGTAACAAGACTGATTATAGAGTAATGATTGAATTTGAAAATGATTAACATCATGGTTTTTGGTTTAGGAATATTTTTAGTTTACCTGTACTAAATTGTGGCAGTTTTTCTGCCTTCCAAATTACTTAGTAGGTTATATTTGTTGATTTAAAATACTTACATGTTCATAATATACTTTAAATGAATTAATATAATGCTTTTTATTAAATAAAGCTTTTTTTCCCCGTGAAGTTTACTTGTCCTTTTATGTTTGTGGAAAGCTTTCAAGAGAGTTCTTTAAACATCACCAGAATAGCCTTTTGTTACTGAAATATTTTAGGCTCTCCTGTTAACCAGAATGAACATTCTTAGAAAAGCTGATCCTTTTAATTGATAAGGAAATCTTTCAGCCAGTGTCTATGAACTGGCATTTTAGAAAATGTTCTTGAGGTTCCCTTTAGGTAACCACCGCTCCTCCACTTGGACCACTCGGCTGAGAGTCCTACTCCTGTGTAGCTTCCTGTTAGCATCACCCAAATGTGTCTCTTTCTCAGTAAATTGCACCATCATCCATTTGAAAGTCTTACTAGACTTCTTTTACCAGTCTCTGCTCTCACTCCCATCCTGCCTCTCCCTGTCCCCAGGAGGTCCCACAGCTTACCCCTCACTTCATTTGGCCACTGCTCAAGTGTCCCTGACCCCTGTTTCAAATAGCAGCTGCCTTTTCACCCACTCTCCCCTCGCCGTATTTCATTTTCCTTCACACAGCTTATCAGTGCTGACGTTAATTCTGATTAAGGCCAGCCCTCACTCTGTCTTAAGCAGTGCACACTAGAGTGGAAGCTTTATGAAGGACTTTGTAGGTTTAATTCATTGCTAAAGTCCCCAGTTTCTAGACTAGTGCCTGGCCATTGCCTGGCCCATATTGGAAACTTTGTGAATATTGATTAAAGGAATGAATGTCAGTACAGATATTCAGAGCTCCCGTATCCACGCCTCTGCCCTCCTCCCACTGCTGCTTTCATCCAGACCCCTGTTTCCTCTTCCCTGGACTACTGCTCAGCCTTCCTTCCTGACTTTTCACCTCTAGTATCACTGCCTTCATTATTTTTTTTTCTGTTGTGCTATTTTGGAATCTTTTTGACACCAGACTCATCTTTTCAGTCCTGTAAAATTCTCCAGTGGTCTTCTTTTTTCCCTATTGAACTAAACATAAATTCATTTGCATAATATATATCAACCTTTTATTTAGAATAAGACTTCTACGTAGCTGTCCAGTCCCATCCCTCCCCCCACCCCACCCCCTGCTCCCCAGCACTTCATGTTGGGCTGCCTGAAGTTTCTAGTAAGCTATGGTCTCTCTTGATTCCATTCCTTTCCATATTCTGCAGCATTTTCCAGGACTAAAGTACTCCTGACCCCTTTTGCTGCAGCTTGTTGATCAAGCAGACTCAGACTTGGCTCACATACAGCCTTCTCTGTGACACTTTCTGCGTTTCTCAGCCCTAGGGCAGTTTTGTACAATGATTATGAACTTTGAAGTCAGAAAGCCCTTGGGTTCAAGTCTAACTCTGTCGTTGTGATGTCTAAGACAGTGCCTGGAACATCCTCAGTGCTCAGTAACTGTTAGCTCCTATTCTGAGGGGCCCTTTCTATGTTCTTATTGTACTTTGCATGTATCTCCAAGGATAGTAATTGCTTTTAGTGTAATTTACATAACTTTTCCAATCATCTGGGCATACTATTAAAACACAGATTCCAGGGCTCCACCCTAGAGATTTTAATGTGGTGGGTGCAGGATGGGGCCCATGAATTTGCATTTCTACCAAGCTTCCAGGTGAATATAATGCTTCCCGTTCAGACCACACTTTGAATATCACTGTCTTAGTGGACATGAACCAAGTCTTTCTGCCTTTGTTCCATCACAATAGGTGCTCAGAAAAGTACCTGTTGAGGAGACTGGTAAGGGAAAGAATAAAAGTGAATTGGCAAAAACTCAACAAACAGAGGAACTAGCTTGGAATATCGATTTTTGTGGCTGACTTCATCCAAAATGTTTGAAAAACTGGCTGTGAACTTTTAAAGAAAGGTGTGTAAATAAGGTTAGCAGCTTTTGTTAATGACTCATGTTTTTCTTCTGAAAAATCTGAGACTGCAGGAAATGCTACTCTTCCTCTTTTTTTCACCTATCTTTAGAGAAACTAGATTTAGAAGTAGGCGAAGGGGCAGGTAAGGAGAAAATAGAAAGCTTTAAGAGGAATGGAAGAGAAGCAGGCAGTTGAAGATAGCTAATTCTAGTGAAAGAGGGATTATATTCATGAAAACATTGGAATTATGTTCTTGATAGTCACTTGATATACATTTATTTGCACTGTCTTGATCCTACAATGTAGGAAGTGATGAGATACTACAAATGAGATGTGATAAATGCGACAGTTCTTAAGGAACGAGGTGACTGGTTGCAGCCAGGCCTCCTATCCCTGTGTTCATGTCTTCTGTCTAAGCACATTCCAGGTTTTAGTCACAATCACTTTGTGTTTTATAAATTTGCAAAATAATTTACCTGTACCAAATCAGGATGGCTTAAACGGCAAGTAGCAGTATCCAAAACAAGAGGGAAATGTTTTGGCTCACATACGTAGAGTCCAGAAAGGCTGAGTTTTAGGGTGCCTGAATCTGGTCTCTTAGACCCTGTTTCCCTGCGTTTTCCTGGCTCTGCCAACTTGCCATCCTCTCTGTGTTTGCTTTATCCTTTACCTGGTAGCAATATCTGGCTCTCATTTCCACCCACAGCAATATCAAGAAGAAGAGAGAATTTCAAGAGCTTTCAGCAAAACTTGCCTTGTGTCTCCTTGGATCAAGTTAAGTCACAAGCTGGCCCTATACCAGTCTTTGGCAGAGAAGGTAGAATTATCTTAGATAAAGCCAGCCTACTCCTGGAGCTCCCCTGGACTCAGCTTCCTGGAAGCATATGGGTGTGTGAGGGAGGGGTGGAATCTGGAAGCTAGTCCAGGTTTCATTAGGATGGGCGGAGTGGAGAATGAAGGTTACATCTGTTATATACAATATCTCAATTGCTGTTCAAACAATCACAACGGGAAAGAAGGTAGGGGTGGTTACTCCATTTTACAGATGAAGACTGAAGGCTCAGATGGTCCTAAATCTTCGTAGTTCACATCTCCCTTAGTGTCTCAGTAATTTTTTCATGGTGCCCCTTGGGCCAAAAAATACCTAACCATTTCATTTATAAGTAAGTCTCAGCAATGTAGGTATTTATGTCCTAACAACTTATTAGCTGATTGAAAAATATAATGCAATGAAAGAAGAATTTTTTATTTCATTATTTTTATTGAAGTATAGTTGATTTAAATATTGTGTTAGTTTCAGGTATACAGCAAAGTGATTTAGTTATATATATATATATGTATGTATATGTGTGTGTGTTTGTATATATACACACACATATATATATTTGTTTTTCAGATTATTTTCCATTATAGGTTATTATAAGATGTTAAATACAGTTCCGTGTGCTGAACAGTAAGTCCTTGTTGCTTGTTGCTTACCTATTTTATGTACAGTAGTTTGCATCTGTAAATCCCACACTCCTAATTTATTCCTACCATCCCCCTTTGGTAACCATAAGTTTGTTTTCTATGTCTGTGAGTTTGTTTTGTATACAGATTCATTTGTATTATTTTTCAGATTCCACATATAAATGATATCTTATATTTCTCTTTCTCTGACTTACTTAACTAACTATAGCATTCTCTAGGCCAATCCATGTTGTTGCAAATGCTATTCCATTGTATGTATGTGTGTGTGTGTATACATATATATATATATATACACATACATACATACATACACACATATATATGTATATATATACCACATCTCCTTTATTCATCTGTTAATGGACATTTAGGTTGCTTCCATGTCTTGGCTATTGTAAATAGTGCTACTGCGAACATTGGGATGCATGTATCTTTTCAAATTAGAGTTTTTATCTTTTTCAGATATATGCCCAGGAGTGGGATTGCTGGATTATATGGTAGCTCTATTTTTCGTTTTTTAAGGAGCCTCCATACTGTTTTCCATAGGGGCTGCACCAATTTACATTCCCACCAACAGTGCAGGAGGGTTCCATTTTCTCCACACCCTCTTCAGCAGTTATTATTTGTAGACTTTTTGATAATGGCCATTCTGATTGTTGTGAGGTGATAACTTCACTGTAGGTTTGATTTGCATTTCTCTGGTAGTTAGTGATGTTGAGCATCTTTTCATGTGCCTATTAGCTATCTGTATGTCTTCTTTGGAGAGAAGTCTATTTAGGTTTTATGACCATTTTTTGATTGGGTTTTTTGTTTTTTGATATTGAGTTGTATGAGCTGTTTGTATATTTTTATTGTTAACCCCTTGCTGCTTGCATTGTTTGCAAATATTTTCTCCCATTCCATAGCTTGTCTTTTCATTTTGTTGATGGTTTCCTTTGCTGCGCAAAAGCTTTAAAATTTGATTAGATCCCATTTGTTTATTTTTGCTTCTATTTCTTTTGCCTTGGGAGACTGATCTAAGAAAATATTTCTATGATTTATGTCTGAGAATGTTCTACCTATGTTCTCTTCTAGGAGTTTTATGGTGTCATGCTTATATTTAGGTCTTTAAGCCATTTTGAGTTTATTTTTGTATATGGTGTCAGAGAGTGTTCTTAATTTCATTGTTTTGCATGTAGCTGTCCAGCTTTCCCAACACCAGTATTGAAGAGACTGTCTTTTCTCCATTGTATATTCTTGCCTCCTTTGTTGTAGATTAATTGACGTAAGTGTGTGGATTTATTTCTGGGCTGTCTATTCTGTTCCATTGATCTACATGTCTGTTTTTGTGCCTATACCATGCTGTTTTGATTACCATGGCTTTGTGGTATTCCCTGAAGTCTGGAAGGGTTATACCTCCAGCTTTATTCTTTTTCTTCAGGTTTGCTTTGGCAATTCTGGGTCTTCTGTGATTCCATATAAACTTCAGGATTATTTGGTATTTTGATAAGCATTGCATTAAATCTAGATTTTGTGGGGTAGTATGGCCATTTTAACAATATTCTTCCAACGCAGGAACATGGAATATCTTTCCATTTCTTTGAATCATCTTCAATTTCCTTTATCAGTGTCTTATCATTTTCAGTATATAGGTTTTTCACCTCCTTGGTTAAGTTTATTCCTAGGTAACTTTTTGGAAACAATTTTAAACAGGATTTTTTTTTTACTTTTTTTTATTTCATTGTTAATGTAAAGAAATGCAATAGATTTCTGTATATTAATCTTGTATCCTACTACCTTGCTCAATTTATTAGTTTTAATAATTTTTGTGTGGAGTCTTTAGGGTTCTCTATGTAGAGTATCATGTCATCTACAGATAATGAGTTTTACTTCTTCCCTTCCAATTTGGATACTTTTTATTTATTTTTCTTGTCTGGTTGCTGTGGCTGGGACTTCCAATACTATGTTGAATGAAAGTGGTGAGAGTGTGCCTACTTATCTTGTTCCTGAATTTAGCTGGAAGACTTTCAGCTTTTCACCATTGAGTATTATGTTGTCTGCAAGTTTGTTATAATTGGCCTCTATTATGTTGACATGTGTTCCTTCTATACCCGTTTTGGTGAGAGATTTTTTCATGAATCGATGTTGAATTTTGTCAAATGCTTTTTCTACATCTATTGAGATAATCATGTGGTTTTTGTCTTTTATTTTGTTAATGCGTTGTATCACATTGATTTGTATATGTTGAAGCATCCTTGTGACCCTGGAATGAATCCAATTTGATTATGGTGTATTATCCTTTTTATGTATTATTGGATTTGATTTGTTAATATTTTGTTAAGGATTTTTGCATTTATATTCATCAAAGACATTAGCCTGTAATTTTCGTTTTGTCTTTTCTTTTTTTTTTTTTTTTGTAGTGTCTTTGGTTTTGGTGTCAGGGTGGCTTCATAGAATGAATTTGGGAGTTCCCACCTCTTCCATTTTTTGGAATAGTTTGAGGATAGGCAATAAGCTCTTCTTTGTTTGGCAGGATTCCCCAGTGAAGCCATCCAGTCCTGAACTCTTGACAGGGAGTTTCTGGTTTTTATTACAGATTATATTTTAATTCTAGTGATTATTCTGTTCAAGTTATCTGTTTCTTCTTGACTCAGCTTTGGAAGACTATGTTTCTAGAAACTTGTTCATTTCTTCTAAGTTGTCCAATTTGTTGGCTTATAACTTCATAGTATTCTCTCTCTCTCTCTCTTTTTTTTTTGTATTTCTGTGGTTTCAGTTGTTAATTCTCCTCATTCATTTCTTATTTTGTTTGTTTGAATCCTTTCTCTTCTTCTTGGTGAGCCTGGTTAGAGGTTTGTCAATTTTGTTTATTTTTTCGAAAAACCAACTCTTGGTTTTATTGATCTGTTCTATTGTTTTTTCAATCTCTATTTGTTTTATTCCCCCTCTGATCTTTATTATTTCCTTCCTTCTGTTGACTTTGGGTTTTGTTTGTTCTTTTTTTTTTTTAATTTATTTTAGGTGGTAGGTTAGATTGTTTATTTGAGATTTTTCTTATTTCTTGAGGAAGGACTGTATCACTATGAATTTCTCTCTTAGAACTGCTTTTATTGTATCCCATAGATTTTTGTCAAGTTGTGTTTTCATTTTTCTTTATATATATTTTCTGATTTTTCCCTTTGATTTCATCATTGGCTTACTGTTTTTTTAAGTTAACATGTTGTTTAGTCTCCATGTTGTCCTGTTTTTCTTTCTGAAGTTGATTTCTATTTTTATACCATTGTGGTCAGAAAAGATGCTTGAAATAATTTCTATCCTCTTAAATTTGTTGAGACTTATTCTGTAACCTAGTATGTGGTCTATCCTAGACAATGTTTCTGTGTTCTTGAAAAGAATGTGTATTCTGGGTTCTTTGGGATGCGGTGTCCTGTAGATATCAAGTAAGTCCAACTGGTCTACTGTGTCTTTTAGGACCTCTGTTGCCTTATTGATTTTCTGTCTGGATGATCTGTTCATTGATGTCAGTGGGATGTTAAAATATCCTACTATTAGTATATTCCTGTCAATTCTCCTTTTAAATCTGTTAGTATTTGTTTTATATATTTAGGTGCTCCTATATTGGATGCATATATGTTAATGAGTGTGATATCCTCTTCTTGCATTGATCCCTTTATCATCATATAGTGTCCTTCTTTATCTTTCTTTACAGACTTTCTTTTAAAGTCTACTGTGTCTGATATGAGTATTGCTCCCCAGCTTTCTTGTCATTTCCATTTGCATGAAATATCTTTTTCCATCCCCTCACTTTCAGTCTCTGTGTGTTCTTCATACTGAAGTGAGTCTCTTGTAGGCAACATATTGTAGGCTTTTTTTTCATCCAATCTGCCACCCTATGTCTTTTGATAGAGCCATTTAATCCACTGACATTTAAAGTAATTATTGATAAGTATGTACTTATTGCCATTTTAAATTTTGTTTTCCAGTTGTTTTTGTAGTTCTTTGTTCATTTCTTCTTTTTTTCCTTTTGTGGTTTGATAGTTTAATTTGTAGTATGCATCAGTTCCTTCCTTTTTGGTTTTTGTGATCTACTGTATGTTTTTAATTTGTGGTTACCCTGGAGTTCAAGTATATTAACCCATAACTATATCTACTTGCTTTAAACTGGTAATCATACAAGTTCAAGCACATTCTAAAAGATCTACATTTTTATACTCCCCTCCCCTCCATTCTGTGATTTTGATGTCCTGTTTTAGATCTTCATGCTTGTCCTTTTGCTGTTAATTGTAGTTATAATCATTTTTACAAAAAAAATTTTTTTATTGTTTGTTCATCTATGTGCTGGCTTATTGTTAAGGTGTTCAGAGCCTACACTGGATGTTGAGCAGTGCCTCCTCTTTGGTCTGTGGCTGTCACTGTCCTGTCAGGGGCCAAGTCTGCTACCCAGTTGTTGAAGTGGAAGCCCCGAGTGCCTGGTTCAATCAGGCCTTGTTGCCTTGCTCCAAGAGAGGGGACTGCTGAAGCAAGTGAGGCCCATGTGGTCACAGCAAACCTACGTACTGCCTGGGCAGGCATTTGTGATTCCACCCTGAAGCAGCCCAGGTTCACATCCCTTTCTCTATTTTGTTCGTCCCAGACCTAGTACAAAGCTGTGGCGTGGAGTCGGCTGGGGCTGGGACCCAGGGTGCTCTGGCTGCAGGAATCAAGGCAGCTGTGCCTCCTGAGACCTGGGCTGCTTCTGTGTCACTCCTCTCCCAGGACCCTTCTGCCCCAGATCCAGCGCCAAGCTGTGGTGTGGAGTGGGCGCAGCCAAAGCGCTCCCCACTGAAACCGCTGCATACTTCTACCCAGGGCAGCTCAGCACCCAGCTGCTGTGGGTTCCTGTGGCTTTGCCTGGTGTGCACCCTAACAATGTCTGCCAGGGCCCACCCTGCCCCCGCCACGTGTGCTGACAATGGATTCCACGATTCCCCAAGACCACACCTCAAGCCCTCCAGGCTCTCTGGACCCCTAGATGGAGTCCTCTCCCAGGACCTGTCTGACTCAGATTCAGCTAACACTGCGTGTTCCCGTGGCGGCACCCGTGTGCACACTGACAATGTTGGCCAGGTTCCATACGCCACCCCTGTGCATGAGCTGACAGCGGTCTCTGCAGTTCAGCCCGGATCACCCCCCACCCCCTCCAGGCACCGTGGTTATCTCTGCACAGATAGACCAAATCTCCGCCCTCCTCTCACTCCAGGCTGCAATGTGGAGTGAGCAGGCCAGGGAGTTCACCTCTTCGTGCTGAGAAGTGCGGCAAGGTGGCAGCCGCCAGTACAAGTGCTCCCCACCCTGATTGTCAGCCAGCCAGCATGTGCACACTACTCAGGAAGAGTCTAGGCTTCTCCAGCTCCTCTGTGCATCCCGGTGGATATCCCAACAGGCAAGGGGGCTCCCCAAGGCGAGGGTCTACTGGTGGGGACCCTCTCTTCCTTAGAGATCCCTCCCAGGGGCACTTGTCCTGTGGAGATATTTCTTGCAACTTTGGTTGTATAGGAGATTCCTGCCAGTTTCCAGTTGGTTTTCTGTGAGAATCATTCCACGTGTAGATGCGTTTTTGATGTGTTTGTGGTGGGGAGGTGAGCTCTGCTACTCCACCATCTTAACCCCCTTCCTATTTCCATTCTTAATCACAAGTCCTTCCTAATACATCATACACACCTTTTGGACACTGTGACTTCTCATGCCTTGGAATCAGATTGGATGTCGCTACCCTCATTTTCTGTTCCACGCTTATTTTCATATGATAGTTGCTTTTATCATGACTGTGGAGAAACAAGCCACAAAAAATCTAAAGCCATTGAAAGGACTGTATTGCAATCTTATGTTGCAAGCATGAACTTTTCATTATTACTTCACATGGTATCTGACAGATGTTGATTTTCACTGTGTTTACTGTTTTCAAATGCTTAAGTATCCTGAGACAGCCCTTTGAGTTCACTGTGGTGCCCTGGGGTACTGTGGCACATAGTTTGTGAAATACTGATTTAACTGATTTGCCAGAATTTAAACTTTAATATTCCAACTCCAAGTCTTGATGCTCTTAAACCATTTTTAGGGCCTTTCCTTTAAGATCATGTTTCCATTGCCATTCAGATTCTCATTTGAATTCAAGGTCCAACAAGGAAAATATGACCCTCTTGAAGTCTTTAAAACAGAGGAAATTTAATATGGAAAATTATACTGGTGATAAAAGAGCTGAGAAGCTCAGGGAACAGTGAGGCAACCCAGAAATGAGCAACCACAGGAAGCTGGGACCACTCCCATCACTGCAGAATTTTTATGGGGAAAGGAAATTTTATGGGGACTCAGAAGCTAAGGTTACCTGTTGGAAGCTGCACCCACAGTGGAGACACAGCTACTGCCAGAGACATCTAAGGATGGAGAAAGAGAGGGGAGGAAGTATCCTGATTTCTTCCTTTCTCCTACCCTCAGCCTTCCCATCAACGCTTCCCATTGGATGAATCTGCCTAGAAGCCAGAGAGCGAGGGAACCTGGGAAATGTGGTCCCTTACGGTACAGGGTACAGAGCATGGGGGAGGGGCGGGGAATGGATCTGAGCAGACAAGCAGTTGACTGGCACTACAAAATGTAGTATATACACTTTGTTCATTCTATGATTCCTTTAGCAAGTATTTATTGAGGACCTACTAGGTGCCAGGTATCATGTTAGATACCATAATAAGCAAAACAGACCTGATCACTGCTCATATGGGGTTTGAAGACCAACACAGGAGAAGCAGAATAAACACAAAGCTATCTAATTATAAAGCGTGTTAAGTGCAATGAGGGAAAATCCCGCCGTGCTGTGAGATGGGCAGTGATTTAGAGGAAGGGGGCACCCTCCCGGTATGTTAAGTCTCGTGAATTGACTCCTGGGGTATGTGTAGAAAACTTACGGTCAGGAAAGGTCAGATTATTTATATCTAGGAAAAGTTTACAAAAGATATTGGCTCATTCATATTTTAACTTCACATCAGCATTATGGGGCTTTGTTGTGTTTGTGTGTAATACAGTGTGTGTATGTGTGTGAGTGTGAGACAGACGGGGTGGGAGGAGCAGAGAGGGAGAGAGAACAGTACAAAGGAAGATTCCTTTAGACTAACATTCTAAGGAGCCAGCAGGCTCACAGCAGCTAATCTCCATCATGCTTTCCAGGCCCCACCCCCTTTCTTCTCATCATAACTTGTGATCTTAGAGGCATGAAAGAATTTGAGCCCCTCCCCTAGCCTGACCATCTCTGCTGGCCGCTCAGCCAGGCTCCATGTCAAATCCAGCCGGGAGCACAAACCCCAGGGCCACGCAGGAGGTGGCAGTGGACTCGTAGGCAGGTTTCGGCACCCAGTGGCCATGGGCGACAAGAGTGGGCAGCCCGGCACCCACACCTATAAATCTCTCGCTGAAGATGGAGCCTTCGGCTTTGTGGAGCCGCCCAAAAGACCCACGGGGAGTCTGCTCATGCACAGCATGGCCATGTTCGGCCGGGAGTTTTGCTACGCGGTGGAGGCGGCCTACGTGACCCCAGTCCTGCTCAGCGTGGGCCTGCCCAAGAGTCTGTACAGCATGGTGTGGCTCCTCAGCCCCGTCCTGGGGTTCCTGCTGCAGCCCGTGGTGGGATCTGCCAGCGACCACTGCCGGGCCCGGTGGGGCCGGCGAAGACCCTACATCCTCACCCTGGTCGTCATGATGCTCCTGGGCATGGCTCTGTACCTCAACGGGGACGTTATCATATCAGGTCAGTGGACCGCGCGAGGTGGGCCGCCGGGAGCGTCCTGTGATGCAGCTCAGTAGGAGCAGAATGCCAGTATCTTCATGTGACAGTCAAAAACCAGTTAAAACTTACTATCTCTCCTGAGTTACATTGAATTTCCACCTGTGAATGACCCAAATTCTGTGGTTAAGAGCCTTTACTTTTAGAAACCTCAGGCTACATTATTTTTTAATTGTTGTGAGAATCTTAAAATAGGATTAAATTTTTATCTATTTTTAAAAATTGCATATTTTTACGTATTTATCAACTGTGGTGTTTTTGTGCCCATTGTAAGATATTTAGTACTTTCTCAAAATAACCAGCTGCCAAATGGCTCTATAAGTATTTACAATAAATGTACCTGTGTGTCCAGTAAGAGTTAATTATGTTCCCAGCTTTATGTAGAGTCTTTTAGTGGGTCAGGGTATCAGCCTGTTAGCTCAAGGGGACATTTTTGCATTTAAAATCATGGACATAAACCTGATGGTGAGCTCTTTTTCTAGCCATTAAGCAGCCCCTAATTAATCCACAATTGGTAGTACTACAAATTGCATTGAAAAAAGGATCATTAAACTTAAAAACAACACATTTGTTTTTTTGCGATTAACTCTCAGGCTAGCAGAATGGATGATAAAGAGGCAGGATAATCAGTTATCATTTGTATATAATTTTAAAAGGGCATAAATCCATAAATGTAGAGTATTTCTGGAAGAATTTCCAAAAAATCTGAATAGTTGCCTCTAGGGAATGGCACTAAGGGGCTGGGGGTGAGAGGGGGAGGGGAGGCTTGTTTTCACTTATTTTTATACTGTATTTTTTTTAAAGAGCAGGTGCATATATTACACATTGTTAAGTTTAAAAAAGAAGCTGAAAGCAAGGGAAATAGTTATGAGTAGGTGAATGGATTGTGGTATAGCCATACAATGGATACTATTTAGCTGTTAAAAATTGTGAAGTTGATCTTCATTAAATGAAATGCTGAGATAAGAAAAGAGTTGGTTACAGATGAACAAGTACAACACGATCCCATTAGTCAGTGCTCCTCAAGGCACATTCCTGCACCTGCAGCATCAGCATCACTGGGGGCTGTTAGAGGTGAACATTTCCAGGCCCCATTTCTACCTACTGAGGAATCATGGGAGACTCATGGGAGATGGAGCCCAGCAATGTTTAAACAAGTCATCCAAGTGATGGCTAAGCATGCCGAAGTTTGAGAAGCCCTGCGTGAGGGCGCAGGTGCGCACCTCTGTATAAAGGCATAAAGGGAGATCTGAAGGAGGACAATCTCTAGGGGCTAGGATTCAAAGCATTTCCCCAGCTCTTCTATATCCTTGGAATGGTTTACAATAAGTGCATAATTTAAAACAGCTTTCTTTTTTGGGGGGTGGGGAGGGAGGTAATCAGGGTTTATTTATTTATTTGTTTGTTTATTTATTTAATTGAATGGAGGTACTAAGGATTGAACCCGGGACCTCGTGCATGCTAAGCACACGCTTTACCACTGAGCTATATCCTCTCCTAAACAGCTTTCTTTAAAGAAATACGATTCACATACCATAAAAAGTCACTGTCTACAAGTGTACAACTCAGTGCTTTTTAGTATATTCTCGATTATGCAACCATCATCACTATTTAATTCTGCAACATTTTCACCCCCCCGCCCCCCACCAGAAAGAAACCTGGTCACCATCAGCAGTCAGTCCCCACTTCCTTCTCCCCAACAGCTCTAGGCAACCACTCACCCTACTTTCTGTCTCTATAGAGCTGTCTTTTCTGGACATTCACTTGCATAATTTTTAAAACCTGAAAAAATAATGAAGCTATTTTTATTTGGAAAAGCAAAGTAAAATGAAAGTAAATGGAGATAAGTTAATGAGAGGTTTTGGTGGAAATAAAAATGCAGATCATTCTAAAGCAGGATTTAGAAGACCAATGTTTGTTTCTCTTTCAGCTTTGATTGCTGACCCAAGGAGGAAGCTAATTTGGGCCATAAGCATCACCATGATAGGTGTGGTTCTCTTTGATTTTGCTGCTGACTTCATTGATGGGCCCATCAAAGCCTACTTATTTGATGTCTGCACCTATCAGGACAAGGAGAGGGGCCTCCACTACCATGCCCTCTTCACAGGTATGGAATATTCCAGAAAGTCTATCCTTCAGCTCCCAGCACAGGGAGGCCCTTCCACTGAAGCCACTCAGTGTCTCAGCACTCGAATTTTTTGAATGAATGGATCCATTGAGATGATGAAACACTCCCATCACGAGGGCTCTGTCTTCCGGTGTATTTCTCTAAACAAAGTCAGCTTGTGACAGGGTGTGGAGTTTTTATAGAGGAGGTTTATGCAAGAGCTTTTTACTTTTTGTTTTGACGTTGTTAGTTTTTAAATGAGTAACATGTAGCATCAGCATTACTTAGGAGTCTGTTAAAAATGCAGCTCCCTAGGCCCCTCCCCCAGGTATTTTGATTCAGTGGGTTTGGGGTGGGGCCCAGAAATTTGCATTTTTAATGACAGTCCCAGATGAGTCTGTGGCAGGTGTCCCAAGAATCACATTTAAAAGTAAAAATAGAAACAAACCAAGCAAATTAAAGAACTTCAAATCTTAGAGATTTCTTAGTCATATAAAGAGTTGGCATTTTCTCAACCTCCTGGTTTGGAAAAGACCATGAAAAAAGACTATGGGGGTGCTCCCTTCCAACGCTTGGGGCCATTACCAGCCTCCTTTGGTTGCTGTTGGGTCCTTCATTTCAAACAGTGCTACTAATGTTCCACATGCTTTATAGAGCTCCAGTTAGGACTGTTCTAGCACTGGAGGGTCGTACACAGGACTATAGCATGATCCTGGCCTGGGAGCATTTTTATACCTAGATAGTAAGGGCTCTATTTGATTGTCTTCATGGCCCAGCCAATGTATTTATTTTATGTTTTGGCATATTCTGTCTCCTCTGAAGGTCAGGTAGTTCTCAGGAGAAGAAGAATCTTGAGTTTTGTTCAGTTTATGTCTCTAGAGCCAAGAGCAGAGCCTGCACACAGAAGCCATCGGGTCAAAATTTATTGTTTGAGCAAATATTTGAATGGTGAACACTGGAAGAATGGGGCTGCCCAGCAGAGACGGGAGTTCGTCCTTGCTTTAGGGAAGGTGGAGGAGCGGGAGTCCACCCCATCCGTCACTGGTCCCTGACCACACTGTCTACAGCTAGAAGGTCCCAGAATAGAGATGCAAACTGATTTCTCCTGATTTAAATCCCATAATACCTGCTGCTTTACTTTATCATAATTTGCTGAAATTAATTACAGCAAGATCACGGGAGACTTTTTGGCTTTTGACCCTGACACATGGAGGGTTTTATTGCTCTGAAGTACTCTGGGCAATGTGGCCACTCCTTCTTGTCTTACACCAGTATTAGTCTTGGCCAAATAGCCTCTGCTTTATTGCCTCTGATATTAGAAGATTGAACTCTGTATTTTGGGGACTTTTCCAAGATTAGCATATGGTAGTATTTCTATTGACTTTGAGAAAATATCTTGAGGTTGTCTATTGATAGTAACAAACAGTGGTCTCAGGAAGCATGTGTAATTTTCACATGCCCTTGGTTTAGGCTCTCACTATGTCTTGTCTGAGCTTTCGTACTTATCCTTTGTTTTTCCAGTCTCTAATGTCTTCCTATTCCGAGTGAACCAGCACACAGCTTCCAGATTCAGATTCCTAAATGACAGCTATACCAGGGTGCTTTCATAATCAATGACCTGCAGTGGCTCCTGGGGATGGAAAATTAATTAATCAGTAGTCAACTGAAGAAAGAAAGAGAGAGTTTTATTTGAGTCAGCCTGAAGATTATAAACCAAGAGACAGTCGCTCAGAGAGCTCTAAGAACTGTTCCTTCCATTGGAGGTCAAAGCACAGTTATATATGAGACAAAGGGTTATGCATGACATGTCGACTGCTCAGATAGTCCAGATCTTCACGTCCAAGGTGAGTAAGTGGTTCATCGTGACTCCTTACAGGATTAAGAAAGGAGTGCTATCTCTTAGGGAGTTACCATGCTAGTGCCAGGAGAAAAGTGCTCTTTATCAAGCAAGTATCCCTGAATCCTTTAAGGCGGTCTGGTTAATGTATAATACAGATGCACAGTGCAAAGAGGGGGCTGGAGTAGAGGCATAGATGGGTAGAGAGAAAATTTTATGTTTAAATTTTTCTTGCCTTGCCATAAAATATGCATTTTTTCTCATCACTCCCCATTTGCCTACTGAGTAAAGAACAAATTCCTAGGCAGGGTTCAAAACTCCTCACAATCTGTTCTCATCCTATCCTTCAAGCTTTATTTCCCTTACTCCCTCCACATTCTCTGTGCTCTGAGCAATTTCCCAGCAAGTTCCTAGGCACAGACTCCAGGTCTGTTTTGCTCACAGCATCCCTGGTACCTCCAACACTGCCTGGCATGCCATAGATGCTCAAAATAAATATTAATGAAACAAACATAGGACACTACCCTTTCCTTTCTAGATTCAAGGTCTACTTTACACTGAAATTCCCTTCCTCCTTTTCTCCCTTTGGAAGTCAAAGCTGCTTAGAAACTTTCTTCAAACCCCTTTCCTGGGGAGAAGGCCCCTCACTCTTTTCGAAATTGCAGGCAGACTTAATTTTTAACTTGGTCAGAGCTTCCACCCACAACATCATCAAAATATAAAAGTTTGTCAAGTGGATGAACATAAAGATAGCCACGTGGATAACTCCAGCGGGAAGAGAGAGTGGTTACAGTTCACCACACACACATCCTGAATTTTACCTCCCCTGTGCCTGTGTGGTCTCCTAGGGCTGTCATAACCAAATGCCAGACTGGGGGCCTTAAAGGACAGAAATTATGTCCTCACCATTCTGGAGGCTGGAAGTCCAAGATCAAGGTGTCAGCAGGGTGCTTTCTGGTGAGATCCCTCTTGGCTTGCACCTGGCCATCTTCTCGCTGTGCTCTCACGTGGCCTTTCCTCTGTGCGTGCACTCCTGGTGTCTCTTCCTCTTTTTATCAGGACGTTGGTCTTATGGAGTAAGGCCCCATTGTTGTCTCCTCATTTAACCTTAATTACTTCCTAAAGGCCTTATTTCCAACCATGTTCACTTTGAGGGTTAGGGCCTCAACATGTCTTTTAATAAAGAAAACAAAAGCTTTCTTAGAAAGCCCACAGACTTCTGCTTGTTTCTCATTGGGCAGAATTAGGTCACATGAGCACCCAGGGGCCTAGGAAGTTGGAAAAAAGAGAGAGTCTGTGTGTGTGTGTGTGTGTGTGTGGTGGTGGAAAGGGGGTTCCGTTAGCTGGGAGGGAGGGTAATAATTATTGAATAGGCCCAAACTAGTAGCTACCACATAGAACACAAACACAGTTGAGTATTAACCTAATGAGAACAATTAAGGACCAAGACTATTGTAAGAAAGTGACAGCCAGAGCTTTCAAAGTCCAATCTATTAGTGAATAATGAAGAGATAATTGTATTTTAAAGTTATACTCATGTTCACAATTTTACCTGATCACTTTTGTTATATTTACACTCTCCCCTGAATTACAATCCACTGTGGATTTATCCATCTCTTCTACAAGATTTGTGAAAACATGAGGATTCACCTGCAAATTCCCCGTGGCTTTTAACTTACTGTTTTGTTGTCACCAGGCACTTAGAAATGTTAGCTATGTAAAAGGAGACTCTCAGTTTCTTAACCTTGCTTGTATTTCATGCAAATTTACATCATGTTCAACTGCGTGGCAGATTGCATCAATCAGATGAATATGTTCATTTAGTTACTTTGCTTTGTCTTATGACCAGCACCGAACCCTGGACCTCAGTCACCTGCCTCTGGTTATAGGGGGACCCCCAAGGGTGTGTGGACGGCTCAAAGCAAGCTCTTTCCCCTACTAGGAAAAAACAACTTAAAATATCTTCCTCTTATAAAAGAACACAGTGACGTCTCACCTTGTTTAAGGCTTAAATTCTAAAGTCCCTGCTTAAGGGATGCATTATTTGATCATTCATAGAATACCGCATGCCTTGTTCTATGTCTATAGAGCTTCACAGTGATGGATACATAAAAATATGTCTGCAGATTCATCTCCTCTTTAGTGTCTACTTCCGGACATGGGCTCAGTGACCGGAACAGCAGATAGGACAACCCAGATTATTTCAGACGTTCTTCTTATCTTTCTTGCTCTCTCTTTCCCTCTTTCCAAAGTGTGAATGGTTGAATTCTGTTGAGGTAACTATGGATGTGTGGCCCCACCATGGTGTCCTCGCTCTGAGTGGGAGACCACATTAAAAATGGAGTGAAAAATAGTCAGCAGTGCATCATCATTTTGCTCAGCCTTTGCATACACACCAGACCTCTTGAATTTTCATGACCTTGGCAAAGAGATGGCCATAGCAGTCTGCCTGAAACAATCATTTTATGATAAAGGCATGTTCAGTGTCAGGGCCCATTTTAATTTTCATCAGCAGTAACATATCATTTATCTGAGGTCTCCAATGAGCTAAATAGATTGAAATTCTTTTTATTTATTTCAGAGCTTCAGTCCAGGCCCATCAATTCCAAATGATTTGCAAGTAAGTGTCCAAGGGTTCACTGCCAAAATATTTTCTAGCATATTTCTTACTTTTTCTTTAAAAAAAGAAAAGACTCTACTGGCTCCCTGAAGGACATTTTGGCCCCCCAGCTTCTTCTGTCTCTTATGTTAAAAGGTAACTCCACCTGCCCTCCATCCCTGGCGTAAGTGGTAGCCATGCTGCCGGTCACCCCACGCCTTCACCTCAGGGTGCATCTGAGGCTGTGCAACCCACACTCACCAAAAGGAAATGCCTCCTCTGTATTAAAATACTTCTAACCAAGCACACGTTGCTAAATTAATCTGAGGCTTCGCTCTCCTTAGCAGTAGGCTCTGTCTGTCCCCCGGAGGCTGGAATGAGGCATGAAGGGGAAGGCCATCCCAGATCAAATCCTGGCTCCACCTCCTGCCAAGTCGCCTTAGTATTTCTGAACTTTTGTTTCCTCACAGGGTTGTGAATCTTTACACGATGTTAATTACTAATATCCTGGTAGACTGCCCCAGGGCCAGAGCAAGAAACCATGTTAAAAGGATTCAACACCAA